TTACTTTATCAGAAAATTGTCAATAGTAAGAAGCAAAAGTAATAGTATCGGGATAGATTTCATGATTGGTGTGCTTAAGGCAACAAGAAGTGATTTTAAGTATTTCTGTAGTTTTTGGACAGGTTGCGTTAACTAACTATTTACATCCTAACCACTTTGTTTGAGATTGTTTTTGATTCTCTACAATAGCTATTTTCTTTGAATAATCTATTCCTTGATTTTTGCAAGCATATCTACACCTTCTACGAGTAGCCCTATCAAACTCAGAACAAGTAATTATTGATACAAAGCTATTCTGTTTTGTGTATATTTTAATATAATGATCAAGCTGATCTCAATTTTGAAATACTGAGTCAGAAACAATCTCAAGTTTTTCTTGACTGTTAAACTCAACGTTCTGATGTTCATTCGTGTTAGATATGTCATAATTAATAGTCAAGTTCTCTACAATATTAGAAATTAATACATTGGGTTTAGATAATATACAATTTTGTTGAGTAGAACATGGGGAAGAATCTTGTGAGCCGGGTGCCAGTAATATAGGCTGTGAACTTTGTAGTAGATATTAAAAATCTTAAAATTATAGTAAGTAGTATTTAGTAAAGAGTTTAACCTTTTAATCGAGTATATTTTTCACATCACTATAACCATTTTACTTACAATTTCCTAAATAATTTATAAGCAAAAATAAGCTTGATATATTACAGAATAAGGTATCATCACTATAATTTAATATGAAATTTTCTTGGACATCCTCTATGAACATGTTTAATTAAAATACTTGATTTTTTGTTGTTTAACTTATAGTTTTGCTTCGTAAAAGACTTGATGAATAAGTAAAATTAACATATCATATGTTATATAGCAATCAGTACCATCACGATTTTCTTGAATCTTCAGTGGGTTGATTTTACTATAATAACAACTTCGCTTGTTTGTTTATTGTGACAAAAAGAACTAAGATCAGCTATTTTTATTCTCTTATATATATATATTTGTAGTTCCTATTATATCATTGATAGAATAAACTACAATATACTATCATCGCTTATATATCATTATTAGTTACCTGATATCGATCACATGTAATATTTATGGTTATAAAATTTATCTGTAACCTACAGTTACAAGTTAATTTACTCTTTTTTTTTTAGTAAATAAAATTTGCTATCTAATTTTTTTCTTTTTTTTAAATCAAATTTTTTAATATGTCCAAAATTGGGTTGATTTTTTTTTATATAAATGATTTTAGATTTTTTTTAGGCTGATATTTATTAACATTCGGCCAAGCCAAATTTCATATGTTTGACTAGTAAAGTTAAAGAAGATTTGGCTTTAGGGAGTATTTTTATAATTAAAGTTTTTTAACTATATTTGTACTACAAAGCATCCAATGTGATAGTACACATTCTATTTCCTATTTAAATACTATAATTAGTTTTTTAAAAAAATAAAATAATTCTAGCTAGAATAGGTTGGAGAAAACTCTTTGGTGATAATTATGATATTATATAAAGCATGTTAGCAGAGAAAATCCTTGTAAATACCATTTTTCAATAGCATTGTATATGTTAATTAGATGAGAGTAAGATGTATTTATATTTACTTAGTTGTGAGTTAGTGGTAATGCTATTCTGATATATTTAGCTTTACATGATATTTTAAGCTAGTTTTTATTGATATTGTAGAAAGTTTTGTTGAGACCATATTTCCTGGTAAAACTAGTTTAGAAGATTGTTGGAGAAATTAATTAGAAACAAATTAGTTTGATTATTAAGTAAGATTTTGATATTATGATATATTGAATTGGAATATATTCTAAGGATAGTAAGAAGAAGGAAGTCAAACTATATAATAGAAGAATTTGGTAAAAATAGTGAAAGAGAGATAAGAATAGTAGTAGATAAAATATGAAGTTGAAGTTGATGAAGTGTATTATTGATTATATTAACAAGTAATTGTTGAATATTTTCTATATTTTTAGAGTATAAAAGTATATGAAGAGTATCTTTAGTTGAGAAGAATTTATAACACTTGTTGGTTATATATAAGTTTGGATAATGGATATTAAGATTTTGTATTGTTGAAAGATTATTTGTTAGGATTTTAATGTAGAAAGAGTATTTGAAAGAGTTATATTCTAGGGAATTAAATATTTTAAAGGCTAGTTTCTAGTTTATATTTGAGGTTTAGTTGTTG